TGGGATACATTTTTAGTGCAGGAGCGAACTGTTCTGGTCCGGACAGAATCCGGACATCGTGTGAACGAGCCCTAAAATATCAGAGTCCGCCCCCCTCTTTCACATCTGAGTCCAACCATCAGATCAGAAGCTGCAGATGAGGCAGCATGGCAGAGGGCACAAGGCCTGGACACGGGCAAACTTCCACTCTTTTCTGAATGGATCCCACCCTCCCTGGAATAGCACCATTCATTTCCATGGTGCTGGCGTCCTGCAGTTGCGGCTTTGTGTTGCAAAAAAAACAAAGCATTCAGAAGGCGGAAGTCTCTCCTCCTGAATATCTGTGAAGCGCCTGTCAACTGCCCGCTGAAAAATGATTCCCCGCAAGCATAAACGAGGCCAAATTGTGATGATAAGCCCCCATTGACATTTGAACATTATTGGATGATTTTTAGGCTAATTGTGTTTTCGCACCCGTTTCCAGGTTTGAGCTTTTTTGTTGGCTCTTTTAGCCAACAGCAAGCTAGTTACGAGGAGGAGCAAACGGTTGTTAAGGTCGTACGATTTTCGGCGGGTTGGTAGCGTGCTTGGAAGACGAAAGCCGCACGGGCCGGTGTGTGCAAGCGCACACTGCCCGCTCAACATTGAAATCATCGGCATGCCCTCCCCTCAGCGGGGAGGGCTTGCGATGATCGCAAGTACGATCTGCCTGTCCAAGATGGGCAGATCGTACAAAATTTTAATGACCTTACAACCATCACACAACGAAAGTCGTGCGATGGTTGTAAGGTATATGGGCAGCTTTAGGTGTGAAATTGCAAGTCACATTGAGCTTTACAGGATTCTGCCCCCCAAAAAGCTTATGTACATTTTCAAGCTACAAAACCCTCAGCTGTAAACACTCTTTGGGAAACATGCGCTAAAACACTAACAGGGTTATTCACAAAAGGGTGAAGAGTTTGGAGAAGTCAGGAGAAGTGAACAATCTAGGACAAAATAGTTGTTTTGGAAAACTTCTCCAATTCAGCTCACATTCCAGTTTAGCTATGTTGTTCTAGACCAGGGGTAGGCAACCTTGGCTCTCCAGCTGTGCTGAAACTACAAATACCATCATGCTTCTGCCTCTGGGAGTCATGCCTGTGGCTTGCAATGCCTTATGGGATTTGTAGTTTCAGCACAGCTGGAGAGCCGATGTTACCTAGATCGTTCACTTCTCCTGCCTTCCCCAAACTCTTCACCCTTTTGTGAATAACCCTGTTAGATATGAAAGTCATGGAATTCTTGCCGAGCATTGTCGCGCTTTGAAAAACATGCGACATAATGCTCATGTGTGAATGGTGGCTCAAGCACATGTGATTATGCTGAGGACCATGGTGGTTGCTTGGTTACAATGTTTTACTAACTTGTTATTAAAGGAGAACTATGAGGGGAGTGCTTTTCACTCACCTCATAGTTCTAGCCTGGAAGGAGATGTCTTTAGTATGATGTGCAGATCACAGCAGGAGCAGCCATCTTCCTGAATACCCTGATCACGTTGGCTACAACAATATGGCCCCTGTCTTGAGGACAACTAAAGGGCACATTTTTTTACTCTGGTGTTTAAGGTCTTTATTTTTGTGTCTGCTGGCATGCAATGCATTAACACTTGCACTGCCAAGTTAATAATTCCTGCAGCTGCTGGACTGTTCTAAAGCTCTCAAAAAGAATTAACATTTCCCAATTATATTCGTCATGAAAGGAGATGAAGGCTGCCTGACAGCGGGCTTATTTTTACCAGCCTGCATGCTAACATGCGTGTAGGCTGGTGTGCGTTGTTTAGAGGGGGTGACATGCATTGTTACAATGCATGGTACTGTTTACTCCTTTTTTTCTCTTTTTTTAAAACTGAATGACTAAAAACGACACTGCATCAAACTCTCTGCCCCCCAGCGTGTTGCAACGCCGTGCGGTTACATACAGTGAGGTGTGTTGTGCTGTGTGAAAACGCAGCGTGTCTGCATTTTTCAACATCATGCCATCATGGTGTGAACAGAGCGCACACAAAACAAATGCTTGCGGTCAGGGGCGTCACAAGGGGGGTGCGGGGGGTGCAGCCCGCACCCGGGTGTCACCATTGCAGGGGTGACACCAAAATGACTGACAGTCATTTTGGTGTCACCCCCCTCTAAAAAGTCGGGCACTCGGTCATGGACCAAGAGCCCGACAGTGTCTGGAGAGAGGAGGGGACCCGGCGGCATACCTCATCCCGCCGGGTGAATGTCCCCTCCTCTCTCTGCCGGCGTCCACCACCAAGATGGCCCCCGGCAGGAATTAATCAGATGGTCGCGCATGCGTGATGATGTCATCGCGCATGTGCGAGGTGACGCCACGTGCCCGCGCGATGACGACCGGGCCCTTAAAGAAGATCTCCTGGCAAATAAATCTGAACCCTTGTACTGGGGCAGCCCCTGCACTGCAAGGGTTAAGTTCTAGTTTTGTCTAGAGAGCTACAATAACAGAGATATACTCACCCAAACCGTTAACCCGGCTGGCCATTAGGCCAGTCCCTTCAGCCTCGCTCCCCCTACGCTACAGCATCCTCACATCCTATACACTGTATAGAGCGTGATGACTCACAGGAGCTTAGACCGCTGGAGAGGAGGGGGAGAGAGGCTGCAGGGACTGGTCTAGGAGGCAGCAGGGATTACGGTTTGGGTGAGTATAACTTTATTATTTTAGCTTCCAAGAATAAATGAGCACTTAGCCCTTGCAGGGCAGGGGTAGCCCCACTATAAGGGTTAATATTTTATTTGCTCTGAGTTTGTTTTAAACATTCAGGCCCCTTTCACACTGAGCAGTTTATCGCGCGATTTCGTCGGGTCGTGCGTCACTACAGCAGGACCCTTTTTGGAGCGGATTTTGCCGCGATTCTAGGTTACTCAATGCAACCATTTGCGCGGCAAACGCGCGATATCGCGCAAAATGCAAATCGCGCGAATCGCTCAGTGTGAATGGGGCCTTAAATTATTCCGACATTCATGGTGATATGTAATATGTCTGGCGTAATGGGAGCAAACGTAGTTTTCACACATTGGCGCGCCCGACGCATGTTTGTGTGTGTATGTGGAGGGCGGGGGGATTTAAAAAAAAATTTGTGTTATTTTACCTTTTTTTTTTATTTGTGACTTTTTTTGGCTTCTTTATTTTTTTATGCTTTAATTTTTTCAAATTTTTTTTTTTTTACACTTAACTTTATTGCTATCACAAAGGGGACAAAGAAATCCCCTATGTGATAGCCAATTCACATAACAGGTCCTTTTTATGGAGACATCAGGGGTCTCTAAGACCCCTAATGTCACATAGGGACCCCCCAGAGTAGCTGATGAAGCAGAGATCTGCTTCACCAGCTTCTCACCAGTGTTCTGTACCGGAGAGTGACACTGAATGCAGGAAGTGATGTAATATACATCACTTCCTGCATTCGGGGATAGGAGAAGAGATCAAAGTGTACTGATCCACCGAGATCACCGGTCCCAGCCGCACCAGGCACAGCGGATCTCGGGACCGGCAGCGGCGGCGACGAGGTTCGGGGGGGCTTTGAACAGCCATCGATGGCTGTATACATTGCTGACTGTTTCCCCACTTGTGTGCGTGCTGAGCGCCGCACACAAGCGTGGGGAGGAGCAGGACGTCTTAAGACACACCCCCCCTACAAGACTCCCGTCCGGCCGTTCACGAACGGCCATGGACGGGAGATGGTTAAAAGCTTAGCTTTTGACAGCTGTATTACTCAGCAAGTCCCGGCTGTCATTTTGAACTGCCAGTGAAAGCAGTGGAAAAGGGACAGGGCATGCTGCATACACCCCATGTACCATGATGACGTTTTTGTGGGTGGGGTAGCAGGCCTAATGTCAACTACTGATAAACATAAACCTGTCATAAAAGAGAAATAAAAGCTGACCTCCTTCTGAAAATGCTGGTTTCCTGGCTGCAATTTTGGCCCTCTGGTTTTATTATGTGGACCTGGAACAAGTATGCAGCCCAGACACGGACTTGCGTACTCATTGTTGTCAATGGGACCACACCTCCACCACATGGCAAACGCTTGGCACGTGCTTGCTGCATGGTATTTCAATGTTAAATCCCCATTGGGATAAAATAGACATCCACAGTGGATCAGTTTTCAGATGCAGTTTATTGCCATTTCCAGGAGTTCAGGAGGCGACAATGCAGCGACCTGAACTCCTGTGAACCGGCAATAGACTGGGGGGAATTTATCGAAACTGGCGCAGACAAAATCTGGAGCAGATTTGCTTTGCAGCCAATCAGGTTTAATCTCTCATTTTCATGGCTGGGAGGTGTGTGTATGATCCTGCCACCCGTGTGAATGGGGCCCTAAACAATTTTTTAGCTGAGTGCGTCAGATCTACATCTTCTACATTGGTTTTTTTTATTGCTCTCTGTGCCTTCCGGTCACCGCGACAACCAATCCCTACATTTTTATCACTGGGACAGGAAGTGATGGAAAATCTTTTTAATAGGCACACCCCAATGACATTGGCTTTGCTGGAAATATAAATGGTGAGTGTCCCAGAACAAGACAAGTGCCCTAGTCAGAAGTCGTACCTCCCGCCATGAACATAAAACGACATAAATACATTACCAATACAATAATGTTCAATGGAAATCGGTGATTCTTACATGCAAGGCCTGCTGGTTGCTATGGGTAACAGCCCTCAGGCTTCAACATTGCGATCTAAGAACTCTCCATTGAATAACACCCCAAGAACGCCACTGGCCTGTAAATAGAACTGTCTGTGTTATGCTAGCTGACATTTTCTGCCTTACTTTTTCAATTTGTGCTGGAGACATGTGTACAGTATACAGGAATTCTCTGCTTACTGCCAGGAAGAAAGATGGCGGCGGACGCTTCCTGTCCCCCCTCCTCTCAGCGTTGTTTGTCCCAGGAACACACGATCCGCCCTTAGCCGCCGGATACCGGCTTCCAGACCCACTCCCCCGGGATACCGAACTGCTCCCGTGAAAAACGTCACTTCCGGGAGAGGGATGTGGAGAGCTGCGGCTTGGGACAAAGCAGAGGTGGTGGCAGCTTCAGTGGAGACAAGGTGAGAACAGAGAAGATGTTGTCCCCCTTTCAGGACAGGGGATAAACGTGGGGACAGGATGCTGCAGGGGATAAACTTGGGTGACCGGACACCGGAGGGGATAAACGTGGGGGACAGGACACAGGTGGAGATAAACGTGGGGGACAGGACACCTGAGGGGATAGATGGGGGACAGGGCACCGGAAGGGATAAACGTGGGGAACAGGATACTGGAGGGGATAGTTAGGGGGAAAGGGGATAAACGTGGGGGACAGGACACTGGAGGGGATAGAAAGGGG